GGGAGAGGGAGAAGCAGACCTCCCGCTGAGCGGGGAGCCCGATGCGGGGCTCGATCCCAGGACCCTGGGATCCTGACCTGAGCCGAAGGCAGACGCTTAACGTCTGAGCCACCCAGGCGCCCCGTAACCTATTCTTTTTAACAAGATTTTATTTACTTATTATTTGAGAGAGAGAGAGAGATTGAGAGAACGAGTGGGGGAGGGGCAGAGGGAGAAGCAGACTCCCCGCTGAGCAGGGAGCCTGATGAGACACTGGAGACTCGATCCCAGGATCCCGGGATCATGACCTGAGCCGAAGGCAGACGCTTCACCGACCGAGCCACCCAGGCGTCCGAGGATAGTCTATTCTAAGTTTAGCATAATGACCAATGAAACAAGGCAACTGCATTTCCAAATACCTGAAAAGCTCATCCTCGTTTCCATTTACGCTGTGTATGCAGGATCTGGAGGAGACAGTGAATTCTTTGAGGTTTAACCAGAACAAACACTCTATGGTCAATTGACAATCCTTCTTCAGGAATCTGACTTGGAATGGATTTTTAAAATTTCCCCTCGTATTTCATTAAGTCCAATAAAGATACATAAATTTAGAATCAAAGAATTTTAAAATAGACAGGAACCTTGCTGGGTTCAAATCCAGACTCTTCGGCCTGAAGTTAGGTATCCTGTACTTTGCCATACTGGCCCACCACAGTAATGAAGTTTACAATGTGTACATGTACTAAGCAAATTCTATGGCATGATTTTTTTATTCACTTAACAAATATTTAACACCTCTTATGTGCTGGGCCCCATTCTCAGTGTTGGTGATAATTAGGGAGTAGTGGACAAAAATCCCTGACTTCAGTGGAGCGGACATTCCAGAGAAAATAGATAAATAATAAACAGCAAACAAAATACATACATACATGATATAGCTCATCAGCTCATCAGAGGGCTGTAGGTGTCATGGGGGGGGGAAGAGGGGGTCAGGGGGCTTGGAGTATGAGGTAGGGGGTACAATTTTTAACAGGGTCATTGCAAAGGCATCATTGGATCAAAGTCTTGAAGGAAGTGAGGGACCAAGCTCCACAGATCTCTGGGGAGAGAGCATTCAGACAGGAACAGCCAGTGCAAAGGCCCTGAGGTGGAATGGGGCTGGCTGGGAGTAAGTGGAGGGAAGGGCACTGGAAAATGAGACCCTGGAGGTATTGGGGATGGTCAGATGGTGCAGGGCCTCCCAGGCCACTGTGAGGACTCTGGCTTCTACTCCAAGTGAGTCAATAATTTATATGTAACAATTATAAACTGTCCCATGAATTTGCGCAGCCTGTTACCCATGTATTGTATGTAAGACTGTTGACTTAAACTTCAGTGTACTGAAGAATCAAACATGCTGCAAGCTACCGTTTCTAACGGAGGAGTGAGTCGCGGAAAATAAAACCAGCGGTCTAGAGGAAATTTCTAGGCTACACAGAAGAAAGTTGGAGACAATGTGCTAGGCTCTATTATATTGCCCTTACTGTGAGTCTGTGGCCTCTAGGGTTCCTACCTTGATTTCAGGAGGCGCTGAGTTCTGTTCTAGCTCTACGAAGGCACCTCTCACTCCCTGGGGACTAAGTGGATGATGGATTCACTCACATCCGGTCAACCAGAGACATATGGGTGGGGAGGAAGGATACCAAGATCAGCAGTCAGCAAAGTTGTCCTACTCATTCTTTCATTCATTACTTGTAACATTCCTTGAAAAGGGCCACATGATACAGCATAGATGCCCTATCCAACAGGGGCTAAATTCCTGATTTTAGTAAACGACTGTATTAGCTTTCTACTGTTGCCAGGACAAATTATAAAAAATTTAGCAGCTTTAGGGCGCCTGGGTGGCTCAGTTGGTTA